GCTGCTTGAGGTATGTTTAAAAACACTTCTCTTTAGTGCCTATAAATAACGCTTATTCTTAAGATTCTTAATTGTTACTGTTTTTTTCATACATACCAAATTAATTTCTGTTTATCGGGGAATATGGGCAGTGGAGTATAAATTCAAGTAATAAGAATGGGTGCTAATTACTTGCTGAATACAGCCTCCTTTCAGTTTACATATGTGACAGTCAGTTCAATGTGCAGACCTTCTTTCAGACTGAGAATAAATTTTGTAAATATAGAACATGTATATTTACATTTATCAAGCCATTGGCTATTGCTTATGCATGCAATAGGGAGATAAGACTCCTAGTCTGTGGGTAGTTTTCTAAATGAGTCATTAACTGTGCTTTGTAATGGTAGATGGATGTCACATATTTATTGTAATAACTGAAGATTAATGTCAGTTACTGTAGCTTGTCTAAGCATTGTAATAGCTGTGTTATACATATAGGTATTTTCTGGATTATTTTTGGAGCTAATATTTCAACAGGAATAAATTGACATTAATTGAATTAATTGTAAAAAAAAAACCACAAAAAAAAAAACACCAAAACCCACCAAACTAAACCATGAAGATATGACAGAAGTATTTCTGAACCATTATTTGTAATGAAGGAGTTGCTATGATGGATATCTGTCACTGATACTTTGTAGGAGGGGTTATACCAAGCCTTTTCATAAGCAGTGCTTTGCAAAACGCTGGCAAAGCTTATGCTGTCTTTGCAAGCAGCAAAGCATTTCTTTGTGAAATCTGTCAAACTAAAATACCTCATACTTTGCTGATACATTAACATACTGAGAAAAGTAGTACACCAAGAATTCATTTTTAAAAGTAGCAGTCTGATGAAATACATCCAGAATTTGAAATATGGGTTGCCTTTAACTTACAAAATTGCAGTTTCTGAATTCTGTTATGGATATTTTTTTAATATTATAAAGATAGAATATTCAAATTATTGGTGGCTAAATTATCAATCTCTGTCAACAGTAACTGCAGCTTATTCTTCTTCAAAGATACTGTTACTGTTGCAGTATTGGGAGTCTGGCAAGTTGTTGCCAAAAAAAATCACCCCAAAACAAAATGCTTCTTTATACCAGTAGCATGTGAATGTCATCACACGTGGTGTTTGCACTGTAATATTTCAAGGCCAGTAGTAGCTGCCTAAATTGGGTCAGAGAAGGTCTACAAAAGCATAGAGATGTTGCTAATTTTAAGTGCATGTATAGAGGTATAATACTAATCTTCAAGGTATAAGAGTATATTTTGTTTGGTTTTTTTAATTAATGTTGAGGTTAAGTAACTGCTAGATTTTCCACATCTATTTTGCTTGTATCCAAATAAGCCCTTGATGAGTTAGACTTACACCCTTCTTTAACGTTTTTGTGGAGTTGAATTACAGCCTAGTACTTTCTTGTGTGTAAAAAAAAAAAAAAAAACCAACAAAAAAAACCCAACCAAAAAAAAAAAAAAAAACCAAACCAAAAAACCACCACAACAAAAAACACTATTACCAGTTAACTGTGTGCCCAGAAAACTAGAGTATCTGTTTCAAAAATGTTCATATTGTGATACAGGTGTTGAATTTTAAAAATCTAAATCTTAGTGTTGCAGATAGAAAAAAACCAGCAAATGGCATGTTGAAATCTATTCTTTGAATAAATAATGTTACTCTTACGTAATGTGCTGACTGATGTGGGATCAACAACTTATTATTAAAGAGTCATCAACAATAAATGTCCCAATGCATGCACACTGAATTCTTAACAGTGGATTTGAGCTTCAGACCTGTAGGGCAGAGGACAGAATGTTTGGAAAGGAGAGCTAGGACTTACCTTTTTGTTACCATTAATAATCAAAGTTTTCACTAATGATGTCAACAAGTATGTACACCTAAAGTATTAGTCCTCTGTGCCTGTAAGACCTTTGAATGCAGGCTCTGGTATATAACTGCTTTTGCACAGAAATCACTCTGTAAATGCAGACTTAAAATTATGCAGTAAAAAAAATCACATCTGAAATACTCTATCAGAAGTGGTTTTAATAATACTTAAATTCTTAAGATAGCATTTCTTTCTATTTGTTACCTCTTTTTAATATAGCAAATTGATTTTCAATAACCTAGAACTTCGCAATAATTTGGCAAATAAGTGCCTTGATTTTCCTTTCTAATATTGAAAAATCAGGAAAACCTAATTGGAGTTGAGTGAGAGTAAGTAGGAAGGAAACCTGGCACCTGGTGTAACATTAGTTTATGCCAAGATATTTTGAAGTATTATATGAGGAAATCTACTTGTTCAAGAACAGATTTTTAGAGCAGCTTACTCTTATTAATGTTCTGAATGTGTTAAATATCTGAGTTGAATTTTGTTTATGTGCTTTGTGTGGAAGGTAAGCATGCTGAAAATGTAACTAAAAAGAGTTTGCAAAATGTGTGAGTAGGACAGCCAGTTTTGAATTTTGTTTTCTTTCAGATTTTAAAAGATCCAGGGTTATTGTTTATTGTGAGGAACTATAGATAGCTTTTGGCTGTTGCTAATAATAGGTGATGTACCTTCATTAGTGTGTTGTGCTGAAGTCCTGCTTCTGCTGTAACTGAAACCAGTGGTGTGGTATTCTTGGCTTTAGAAGGGCAGGATCAGTCCCAAAAATTGCAGTTAACCTTATGGGATTTTTGTGTTGGAAAGGATGTGATCAGATGATTTAAATGCAGATAGAAAGCTGCAGTTAACCATATCAGCTGCTTCATTCATCTTCTGACAGTAAGACATAGTGAGAACTTGAATTTCTTCTCCCCACCCCACCCTCCCATTTTGATCAAGTTGATGCAGATACATGGTATATGAGCACACTCTGCTCAGCTGAAGCACATTAGCCTCAGGGTGCAAAACCCCAACCCTGCAGCAGACTGTTAGCAAAGCTAACTGTTGGTATTGGTGTCTGCTGTGGGGCCGTAGAGGTGCGGAGATCAAAGGATGATCTTCTAGCTGGAATCCCAAGCTAAACAGATTTAGCATCATCAGAAGCATTTAGTGGTATGTGTGAGTAAATACATCTATGAATCCAGATTGAAAAAAGGGGCTGTGGCTGATTGCGGGTAAAAGGGAAAGTCTTGAAGGTAGAGTACATGGGGCTGGTGCCACTTGGCAGAAATGCCAACAGTGCTTGGTGCCACGTGGCTGGTAAAATTGGCAGGGGGATTCTGGTTTGGATGTGTCTGTTTCTTTCAAGAGAAACTCTTGTGGAGTTTACTTTCAAAATGATTCTGCTCTGTGTTTTAAGACGTTTCTGTTAAGCACAATGTGGCAAGGCTTCTTTTTCTTTAAAATTTGTTAAACCAAGTAGCTGTTCCTGGACTGGATAATAAAAAATAATGCTAATTCAAAACTTATTTCCATTGATAAAAAATAAGGTTATTTCCTAAATGAGGCATTAAACTCACACTGAAGCACTTGAATCTTAAAAAAAAAAAAAATATTGGCCGGAATGTAACCTGTTTAGAGTCCGAGCTACCCTCATACAGTTAATTTTAGAATACACACCTCTTTTTTGTGTCCCCCCCATCCTTCTGAATTACAGGCCTAATTTGTCACAACGTGTACCTCCCTGGATTTAAAAAAGAAACCATTTAAGTCTTGAGTAATTACAGTAATTACAGTATTGGATGAGCACAAGGTTTAGAGTGTGTGGTGTCTTAGTTCTCCCTACGTTTGTCCTGTCCCTGGGCAGTGGAGTCTCTTGCCCAGGGCAGCAGTTTGCATCATTGACTTGAGTCTTCAACGGAGGGAGGCTGAGCCCATCTGAGGGGTGCTCTTTGATAAGAGATACCAGTGAGGCAGCACATTGCGAACTTCACAGTAGACAGCAAAAGCCACCATTTGCAGTGCTTTATTTTATCCAGATATGAGACTAAGATGATGTCGTTCCCTCATCAGCACTGGTGACAGTGAATACAGGCTGGAAGCCATAGTAGAGGCAAATACTTCTATAGAAAAAGCTTGTAGTATCCAGGTTTTTCTGCTTGCTTTGTCTGCCTGTGCAGTTTTCAGATGAAAACTTGCATTCTTCAGTCCTCAGCCTGCAGATAAACATGCAGGCAGCTTTACTCACGTGACCGGTGGCACTGGCGACAATGGGGCTACTGTCCAGCACGCACTTTGCTAAGCTGGATTCTTATTTGTCATTTTTTGGAAAGGTCTGTTTGTCTCTCCTCTGTGAAAAAATTGGAGTTTCACATTTCAAGGTAGATGTGCTTGTTAAAATTCCAGCCTGCACCTGTGCCTGATAAGACTTTCTCTGATTAAACCATTTTGATTCCAGTAAATATCTGAACACCTTTGTACCTCTGAAGATTGCAAATCCAGGGCTTTGTTATTTAAAGAGGTATCAGTTCGTTAGTGAAAAATGTAGCTGGAGAATATAGGTCATCACTGGAACCAGTAAATGGTATGTCTTGGGACACTGAGTTTATTAATTGAAGGCAATCTGAATGGCAACACGTTGCAGATTGACTGTGCCTGGTTAATGTTGTTGTCATTGCACTCTGTGATACAGTTATTAAATAGGTAAAATATTTTACCTTTTCATATAGAGCCATACACTTACTTCATCTGATTTAATGGAACTATAATTTTAATTATGATTATTACCTTAAATTATAATTAAATTTATGTGGTTTAAATTTACATTTGTGAAAATGGCTGCATGATGAAAGCAGAAATTGGCTTCGCATTAGCAAAAAAGGAGGTTTTTTTAACTGCATCTTAGTATATGCTCACAGCCAAAGACTAGCATGACCTACTTTGCAACAATAACAGAGGAATCAAGCTGGGTTTTTTTGTTGAAGTATCTAAATTGGCCATGAATGCTACCTACTCATTCGTTTGTAAGTGTCTTTAAAAATAGCTATTGTATCTATGAAACTTAAGGCTTTTTTTTCCCTTTCTCCTCTTATTTTGATGTAGATAATTAGCACCATGGAGCCTCAGGTGTCGAATGGCCCTACTTCCAATACAACCAATGGACCCTCCAGCAACAGTAGAAACTGCCCTTCCCCCATGCAGACAGGGGCTGCTACAGATGACAGCAAAACCAACCTCATAGTCAACTATTTACCCCAGAATATGACCCAGGAGGAGTTCAGGAGTCTCTTTGGGAGCATTGGTGAAATCGAATCCTGCAAGCTCGTGAGAGACAAAATTACAGGTAAGCACTTCATATTGTTGAATTCACATGTATCAGGGTCAGTTTACATTTGGGGTCAGCAAAACCTCAGTGCTTATTGCAAGTGCTTAGCACAGGGAATGCTGCAAATACTTCTTCAGATGGTAAACCTCTAGTTTTCAATGATGCACACTGGATCTAGAACAACTATAGGAGAAGCCAGTCATTTTCCAGTCTCTGTACAGATCTGAGGGGAAGTTACAAACATTGCCAGTCTGCGTGCATGTAGCACTTCTTGCAGCAGAGCTCGGACGATGGCATTGCTTTCCTGGTAATTCTGGTTTTTTATTTAACATTGACTCAAGTTGTCGGAGGGTAGTCTTAAGTGCCTTGAGCCAACTGACAGTTCTAATTCCGACTATTTCTTTTGAACCTTACCATACCTTCATCAGATTTTTGCCTGTTAACAGCACTGTAAAGTCAAGATGGTTCTGCATGCCCATCACAGCTTCTTTACTATGGTGTTCTGGAACAGCAGTGGTCTGTAGTTGGGAGCCACTGCTCTGGATTTCATTCAGACACTTGTGGCTATTGGTTTATGAACTCTGATCGCTGAAAACATTTTAATTTGTTGTGATCCTGTTCCACATGAAGCGACTCCCATTGGTAGGTGCCTTCAGAATAAGAAAACTCTCCTATTACAGACATTACGTCAAAGAGGGGAGAGAGATGCCTGCACTATGGCTAGAGGAGGCACAGACCGGTGCAGATCCACCTAGCCTACTCTATATCCTTGCTGCTGCAGCCAGGAGTTCACTGATGCACAAGATGATGGGATGAACAGTCAGCTTTTATAGCTTGCTTTATAGGTTAGTTTTATAGGTTGTGTGTCTACTCGCACTGTAGGTGGGGAACAGCTGAAATTTCACTGCTATTTAGTGCATCACCAGTGCTGTTATGTTTAGCACAGACAGCAGCAGCCTTGAAGGAAAGGGTTCCAGAAAAGGAGCTGTCTCCTCCTAGATGTGCTCCTGGCAACTTGGGTGTGCCTCTGTGGAAAGACATACCATGTAAAGAGGAGGAATTAAAATGCGAATCTTCATACCTACTTCCATAACAGCCTGGCAGCCATTGTATTGGCAGCATTAGGATGATCTGCTTAGTGCTTTTAAACCTGTAATGCTTCTTTTTTTTTTTTATTTACTTCCTGACATACAGCAATGTTCTGGTTGAACTCAAGACTCGTAACAAACAGCAGTAGCTGCAGGGCAGCTTGGGTCCTCAGAAGTGTAGTCCGGCAGAGCTTTCTTTAGCATGTTGACCATGATGTATCTATTTCAATATATATTCTGATTGAGCCACAGCCTCAGGGTTATTAAAAGAAGCAATATTGAAAAATGGAATTGGCTTTTATTTATTCTTTACTTTTTTCTACTTAAAGAAAAACAAATTGCTTATAACCTTCCACTCTAAAAATTTCCAGGCAAATAACTGAAGTCCTCTGCTTTTATAAGCATGGCTGGCCCAGTATCCCAATGTGTATGCTATGACATAGCACCCTTGGTATCTGCCACCAGACCAGTTTAATTCTGAACTGTTTTTCTTCTAGTCTGAAAATAATCTGAGAAATTAAATTGGAGGTTACTGCAGCTTTTTCAGACAGAAGTGAGTACCTAACCTTCACCAGCAGGAGTCTAGTGTGCCTAGCCTGAATTTTTTTATCATGGCAGGTCCTGTGTTTCATGAGCTTTTTTTGCTTCCTGTATCCCTTAAATTCATGGTGATTTCCTTGCAATATAACTTCAAAACTTAGATACTCAGTGTTGTTTTCATAGAAAATTGGCTGTCTTTGGATAGAAAGCCATTACTTCATCAGCTAGGAACAGTATTCTTTTTGTGTTGTTCCATCTCCAGGCTTTTGTCTCTGTATTTGAGGAGGTGAGAAATTTGCTATATGTTCTTCTGACATGTTCTTGGGTAGCTTTTTGCTTATGCTTTTTCTTTCCATACACAGTGCATAAATCATTATGATCAGTAAAATACTTTAAAGGAACCATTCTTTAAAAAAAACTTACACAGATGCTTTGAGGTTTGTCACCCCTAAGTGACTGAGGAGTCTACATGTTGTTTTGAAGTGATACAAGTACAAGAGAATCAAATTCATGAAAAAATAATTGTCCTCCCAAGTCTCTGTGTCATTTTTGAAAAGAGAATTTAATCTGCCAAGGTTTTCAGGCCTGTTATCAAGGCATTGTGCAACATTGCTAAATTTTAGGATGTGTGTTCATTCTTCACATTGAATTCACTTAGTAAATCAAATGTAGTCCTCTGCCAGCAGCAGTCCATGCTTTTAAAGGTTCTTAGAACACAGAGTAAAAAAAAAAAAAAAAGAAATGCAGTGAGGTCATACCCAGCTCATCTTTATGAATCGTGTGAGTGTGTTCTTCATTAGGCTTTCTGGGTTTTCATATTTTTTTGAGGAGGGCTGTAAGTATGCCAGTAGGCTGTTACAGTAATGACTGGCTTTTCAGGGGTTCTCTGCTTTTTTCCGTATTAAAAATCAACGTAGATTTTTGATACTGAAAGCTATATTGCAGAAGAAACAGTAAATTCTTAAGCTGTTTCAGACCTTCACCAGTTCAGCAAGAATATTTTAGGTTTTGTCTGCTTCTGGATTTTTTTATTGTATCTGTTCAAAAGTTTGTGTTCTTAATAAATCTCAGTTAAGCATGCACTGTTACAGTATGCCTCTAAAGAAATGTTGGAGCTCTTTCCATTAAAAATGTGGGTTGTCTTCATAGATGGTAACTTTCTCTCCTTGCTAAGGTAAAATATCGAGTAAATCAAGGAAAGCCAGAAGCAGAAGTTAGCTGCAGAGAGAGGTTGCTTCAAGAAAAATAGGAAAGGTCAAAACCAAAAACATTGTTAAATAGTTACCCTGGCAAAACCATATTAGAAAATCCCAAATGTATTTCTGAGGCTAGGTAGGATTGAATTTTGGTTCATGTAAAAGATTTGATTTCCACTGTCCTGTTAAGGAATTGCACAGATTTTTGTGAAATAATGTTTAGACTCCCAAAATACTTTTTCCAGGGAGTTCAAAGATAAACAAAATCTGTTAAACATACAGGATCTGTTTGAGAGAATGTGATCTGAACTCTTTTATTAATTTTAAAATGGATTAAACAATATGTCAGGAATAATCATCTGCTCCTAGTCTTTTTGCAGTCTTTGAACAGTAGTAGGGTTTTTTAGGAAAATTGATTCATGACGTTACCCTTCGCTTTGGAAAGACACATGTTTAAACAAGCATATTCCTTTACTAAAAAAAAATGCTAATTTAGTAGTACACCGTACTGAGTTGAATAGGAATGACAGCTTCTAAGACAGCCTTTAATTTGGTATTCAAAACCAAAATTGTAAACTTCAGTTTTGTTTGGTAGCTTCTCAGAACAGGCAGGATATACAGTAGCATTTTTAAAAGATGCTAATGACTTGAAAGAGGAGATGGAAGTCAGGCATACATTTTAATTATGGGGGAGGGGTTGCAATAGAAAAAATGGTTTTTTTCACTGTAGAGATTTTAAGGGAATAAGACAAGGAAAAACAGACAGAAGATAGTTGCCTTCATTTGGTAGGGGTGTTTAATAAAAGCAGAACTTGTGGTTGTAAAGTGTGCTTATTAAATTCTTCATTTACACTACCTAATTAATTCTAGCATTTTAAATTAACAGTGAAACTGGTCCCTGCTGTACCATTTCATAGCTACAGCATATTTCGTCCAACAACTCAGTTGTTCAGGTTTAATCAGCTGCTCTCAAAAAATGAGAAGGAACTTGAGTTAAAAAAACTAATTGGCATATACATTTTAGAGTGGTGTTAGATGATGGGAGGTGACTTCATGGAAGACGACTACAGCTTCAGATGGATATGAGGCTTGATGCTTACAAGCAACACTAAGCTATGTAGTGTTGCAGATGCTCTTTACTTCTTTTTTCCTTATCCAAAGAAAGCCAGTGATAAATATCTTCCTGACTTGGGGAAGGAGAGGGCTTGAATTCATCAGAAAATTGAGAGAAGACGTGCTGAGCTTGTTTCGTCCCATGTTTGAAAACAAAAGGTCCAGTCAGGGTGGTGTCTGTCAGACACTGTAACTGCTGCTGGCCAAGTGAGTTGTACTTGTTGACATAGTTTGTGTGTGGGAGAAGGGGATGTTTGTTACTAAATTTTTAATTGATTTGGTGGCCTTAGCTGAGCTCTTAGGAGAACTGTATTTTTGCTTCTCTTTAATCTATACAGGAATTTACGTCTCCAGATCCTGAAATGATTGGTATCGAAAATCTTTGGATCTTAGTCTTTCATACCTTAAAATGATCCAGGCACAGTGTAAAGCAGAATATTTATTGATACAGAATTTCTGTGCATCACTTAACTTATGACAGAGTTTGCATATTC